CAGACCATAGGACTCTCTAAGTTTAGTGATACCTGGTGGCACCTCGATGGCAGGGCTGAAGGCTGCAGCTCTGCTGGAGACACTCTCCCAGTTGATCAGAAGGTGCTTACCACACTTTTGCCTGCCTTACTAGTCTTTGCCAACCCAAACCCCACTGACTGCTAAGGAGTCCACAATGAACTTGTTACAGAAAAGGGGTCTCCAAAAGAGGCTTCTTGGGTCTGGTACAAGAAAGAATTCAGGGTGAAAGCAAGTTTATTAAGAAAGTAAAGGAATAGAAGAATGGCTATTGCGGCCGGGAGTGGTAGCTCACACCTGTAATCCCAGCACTTTGAGAGGCTGAGGCGGGCTGATCATGAGGTCAGGAGTTCACGACCAGCCTGAGCAACATAGTGAAGCCCCATCTCTGCCAAAAATACAAAACTTAACCTGGCATGATGGTGTATGCCTGTAATCCCAGCTACTCAGGAGACTGAGTTAGGAGAATCGCTTGAACCTGGGAGGCGGAGGTTGCAGTGAGCTGAGATTGCGCCACTGCACTCCAGCCTGGGAAAAAGAGAGAGACTCTGTCCCAAAAAAAGAAAAAAGAAAAAGGCTGGGCATGGTGGTTCATGCCTGTAGTCCCAGCACTTTGGTAGGCTGAGGTGAGCGGATCACCTGAGGTCGGGAGTTCAAGACCAGCCTGACCAAAATGGTGAAACTTCGTCTCTATTAAAAATCCAAAAATAGGCTGGGCGTGGTGGCTCACACCTATAATCCCAGGACTCTGGGAGGCCGAGGTGGGTGGATCAAGAGATCAAGAGATCAAGACCATCCTGGTCAACAAGGTGAAACCCCGTCTCTACTAAAAATACAAAAATTAGCTGGGCATAGTGGTGCGCGCCTGTAGTCCCAGCTACTCAGGAGGCTGAGGCAGGAGAATTGCTTGAACCCAGAAGGTGGAGGTTGCGGTGAGCTGAGATTGTGCCATTGCACTCCAGTCTGGGTAACAACAGCGAAACTCCGTCTCAAAAAAAAAAAAAAAAATCCAAAAATAGTTGGGCGTGGTGGCTAGTACCTGTAGTCCCAGCTACTTAGGAGGCTGAGACAGGAGAACTGCTTGAACCCAGGAGGCGGAGGTTGCAGTGAGCCAAGATTGTGCCACTGCACTCCAGCCTGGGCGACAGGGGGCGAGATTACATCTTAAAAAAAAAAAAAAGGGCTACTGCAAAGACAGAGCAGCCCCAAGGGCTGCTGGTTACCCACTTTAATGGTTATTCTTGATGATAAGCTAAACAAGGGGTGGATTATTCTTGCCTCCCGTTTTGAGACCAAATAGGGTAACTTCCTGATGTTGCCAAGGCATTTGTGAACTGTCACAGTGCTGGTGGGAGTGTAGCAGTGAGGTCACTGTCATTGCCATCTTGATTTTGGTGGGTCTTGGTTGGCTTCTTTACTGCAGCCTGTTTTATCAGCAAGGTCTTTATGACCTGTATCTTGTGCTGACCTCCTGTCTCTTCCTGTGGCTTAGAATGCCTAACCTTCTGGGAACACAGTAGGTTTCAGCCTCATTTTACCCAGCTCCTATTCAAAGTGGAGGTGCTCTGGTTCATCTGCCTCTGACAGACTGGAGGTACAGGTGGATCTCACAGAGCAGCCAGTATAGTCTGGATGGAGGAACAAAGGGAATGACATAGTTTCCTTGTACCATTCATGCTGAAGAGGTCTTATAGAATTAGGCCTCCAGAAAGAGGGGACCCACAAAGACCCTCCTTTTCTCCCCATTTCTCCATCTGCCCTCAATACCCCTTCCTGCCAAGCCCTTTTTCATGCAAACAGCCCCCTCCAGATACTTCTTTTTGCGGTTTACCCTGTTACTGAACTTGGTTGATTTTTTTTTTGTCTGCTTAGTCCATCATTTCCTGAGAAAGGTGTCCTAACATCTCCCACTATGATTGTGAATTTATTTCTCTTTTTACTTCTGTCAACTTTGTTGTGTATTTTAAAGCTATGTTCTTTATTAGGTGCTGCATATCATGTACGAACAAGTATAGATATAATTTGAGGTTCTAGATGATAGTAAGATTTATTTTTGCTTCTAGAAGGCAGTTGGGGTGTGGGCAGACATTCTTTATTCAGTGGTTTTCAACCACAGGTGATTTTCCCCACCAGGGGACATTTGGCGATGTCTGGAGACAGTTTGGTTGTCAGAATTTGGGGAAGGGGAGGTGCTACTGGCACCCAGTGGTTAAAGGCCAGGAATGCTAAACATTGCGTAAGATGGTTCACTGATGTTAATACCAGTGTCAACAGCACTGAGTTTGAGAAACCTTCCTTTAATCCAATTGTCAGAGGCGCTTGAACCAGAGAAACTCCATCTTGAATAGGGAGCGCCTAAAATAAGGCTGATACCTGCTGGGCTGCATTCCCAAAAGGTTAGGGATTCTAAGTCAGGGAACGAGATAGGTCAGCACAAGACACAGGTCACAAAGACCTTGCTGATAAAACAGGTTGCAGTCAAGAAGCTAGCTAAAACCCACCAACACCAAGATAGCAAGAGTGACCATCCTCACTGCTACACTTCCTCTAGCACCATGACAGTTTACAAATGCCATGGCCATGTCAGGAAGTGACCCTATGTGGTCTAAAAAGGGGAGGCATGAATAACCCCTTGTTTAACATACCGTCAGGAAATAACCATAGAAATGGTCACCCAGCCGCCCTCGGGGCTGCTCTGTCTATGGGGTAACGTTCTTTTGTTCCTTTACTTTCCCAGTGAACTTGCTTTCACTTGACTCTGTGGACTCAACCTCAATTATTTCCAAAGGGCTGAGGCCCTGTGGAAGTTGAAAGCTGGTGGCGGCTACTTGAGCTCTTCCTTCTTTAGCATGAGACTGCTGGGAGCTTCTCTGCCTCGTGAAATAGGCAAATGCCTCAAAATTCAAAGGTCTGCTAACCCTTCTCTCCAGGACCTTGACCCTCAAGTCCTCACCGCCTTGGTGGCTCACCTTCAAACACGTTTGTTTTGCCAGATTTTCTAGCTGTTCTGGATAGGAGGGCTGATCGACCAGTCTGCCTTCAGGGGAAACAGCAAGAGATTGCCTCTCAGTCTTTTCTGGAAGCTTTTAAATGCAGCCTGTAGGCCTATTGTGATGCTGATGGCGTCTCTGCTCAGCCCTGATTTTGCCCATTCTGCGTGGAGGGGGCAGCTCTAGTCTCCCAAGCCGGAAAGAGGATGGGCACTCCCATTTTCCGATCATCCTGCCACCAGGAAGATCTATGGGATGAGAGAGGTAGTGGATTTCTCCCTAGTTATCTAAGAAACAAGAAATGTCTCAGCCTTCGTTTTTCCTTTCTCATACAAGGTGAAGTACTGCAGGCTCATACAAGGAAGCACGTTTTTCCTGCTAACATGATTTTGATCCTGCTCCTTAGGAAAGACTAAGCCTGGCATTAAATAAAGCGCTGGGAGCATTTACCTTCCCCTGCCCCAAAGTCTGGCTTACAGTGCTGGAAAACCAACCGAGCGGTGACTGGGCTGGATTACAAACGGATGCGGTCAGCGCCCGTTATTAGGAGAGAATTCTAATCAGATTGTGGATTCGAGTACTTCTGACTCAGAAATCTCCCCGACTGTAGAAAACGGGGCTATCCCGCTTATAGTGTGAATGGAGGCATGGCTGCGTTCTCATCCGCTGAGATAAACGCCGCCCAGACCAGCACAGACATCCTGTGCTCGCTGTTTTTACTTGGTTTTCAAATGAGGCCTTTGTGTATCACTGGTATTGTAAGGAATACGAAATCATGAAAGAAGTGATTCTTTGGGTGAGTCATTCTATTATAAAACGGAGCCCACAGTCAGGAACCGCTCCCTGAAAGAACAGGACAGGATTTCTCTGAGCGGGGATGAAAGCAGAAGGCGCAGTCATGACGCGCCCCCTACTGGTCAGTGCGGAGAAATCCCCCACCTCAGGTTTCCATGAGTGCGGATGTCCTTGACTATGAACCTCAGACCTCAGGCCGGACCTGGTGGCTCACACATGTAGCCCCAGCACTTTGGAAAGCCGAGGCGGGTAGATCACTTGAGGCCAGGAGTTTGAGACCAGCTGGCCTATAAGGTGAAACCCCGTCTCTAGTAAAATAACACAAATTAGCTGGGCCTGGTGGTGAACACCTGTAATCCCGGCTACTCAGGAGGCTGAGGCAGGAGAATTGCTTGAACCTGGGAGGTGGAGACGGCTGTGAGCGGAGATTGCGCCATTGCACTCCGAAGAATCACAGAACTGATCCGGTGCGGTGGCTCACGCCTGTAATCAATCCCAGCACCTTGGGAGGCTGAGGTGGGCAGCTCACTTGAGGTCAGGAGTTCGAGACCAGCCTGGGCAACATGGCGAAACTCCTCTCTCTACCAAATAACACAAAAATTAGCCGGGCGACGTGGTGCCCAGCTACTTGGGAGTCTCAGGCAGGGGAATTGCTTGAACCAGGGAGGCTGACGGAGGTTGCAGTGAGCCTAAATCGTGCCACTACACGCCAGCCTGGGTGACAGAGAGACCTTGTCTAAAAAAAAAAAAAAAAAATTAGAATCACAGAACTGAAGCAGAATTCCATGAATCCAGTGGAATTTCATTAAATTCCATGAGTTGGAATTCAATTCCATCAATGAAATTTCATGACTCCATTGGGATTCATAGAACTGCTAACACACAGTGAGATACTGAGGAGGCTGATATGAGAACCCCTGTCTCAGGACTCCAGGGCCTAATTTAACAGCCAGAATCTGCCAAGGTCAGAGTGGCCTTAACTTGTACTGCACTCATAAATCAATCTCCCTGGAGATTTCAAACCTTCATATTGCTTTGCTAAATAAAGCCTTAGCTCCTTTCAACCTAAGGAAGTCGATTGAAAAAAAAAAGGTGGAGGGGGCAGGGGGACAGGCGCGGTGGCTCATGCCTATAATTCCAGCACTTTGGAGGCCAAAGCAGGTGGTTCACAAGGTCAGGAGTTCAAGACCAGCCTGGCCAAGATGGCAAAACCCCGTCTCCACTAAAAATATAAAAAATTAGCTGGGCATGGTGGTGGGTGCCTATAATCCCAGCTACTTGGGAGGCTGAGGCAGAGAACTGCTTGAACCCAGGAGGCAGAGGTTGCAATGAGTCGAGATAGCATCACTGTACTCCAGCCTGGGCAACAGAGTGAGACTCTGTCTCAAAGCAAAGAAACAAAAAACAGCCTTAGCTCTAAAGAAAGATTTTGAGTTTCTGGCTGGGCGCAGTGGCTCATGCCCATAATCCTAGCACTTTGGGAGGCCGAGGCAGGTGGATCACAAGGTCAGGAGTTCAAGACAAGCCTGGCCAAGACGGTGAAAACCTGGCCAAGCTGGTGAAACTCTGTCTCTACTAAAAATACACAAATGAGCCCGGTATGGTGTCCGGTGGCTGTAATCCCAGCTACTTGGGAGGCTGAGGCAGAGAACTGTTTGAACCCAGGAAGCAGAGGTTACAGTGAGCTGAGATTGCGCCACTGCACTCCAGCCTAGGCAACAGAGCAAGACTCTGTCTCAAAAAAAAAAAAAGAGATTTTGAGTTTTACATTCCCATGGATGGCGAAAGCAAACACAAAAACCACACATTTGTGCAAAATTAACCGTTTACATTTTATACTAATCAATAACATTTTATACTAATCAATAAGCTATTCTTGAGCCGAATGCTTGTTTGTACCCACATGCCTTCTGTCTCTCTTTCATTCTAACCTGAAACTTTATCCTTAAATCTCCTTGTACAATGATTATAAAATGTAATTTTATTTTTAAACTATATATTTTCTTTTGTTCATTTCTTTCTTTTTTTTTTTTTGAGACAGTCTCACTCTGTTGCCCAGGCTGGAGTGCAGTGGCGTGAGCTGAGCTCACTGCAACCTCCGCTTCCTGGGTTAAGACTATTCTCTTGCCTCGGTCCCCTCGATTACAGGCATGTGCCATGATGCCCGGCTAATTTATTTTTATTTTTAGTAGAGACAGGGTTTTGCCATGTTGGCCAGGTTGGTCTGGAACTCCTGACCTGCCTTGGCTTACAGGTGTGAGCTGCCATGCCCAGTCTCTTTTGTTAATTTCTTTAATTTTTAAATTTCTATTGACATATTATAGTTGTGCTTATCGTGAGAGTACTTGTGATATTCTGATATATGTACACAATGTGTAGGATCAAATCAGGGTAACCGAGATATCCATTGCCTCTGTGTATCTTCCGATATCTTGATCATTAGGGTGAAATACAAGGAAAAAATAAAATAAAATGGAGAAGTTACCATGTTTTTAGTGTTTTTAAATCTTAAGGGTTTGAAATGTATATATTTGAGATAATGAGCCTTTTTGTCTTTTTTTGTCTGAAAGAAATTTGTGACCCAATAATTAGTCAAAATTATCTCCAAAAAATGTTAATGAAACTGGGAACCTTTTGGGGGACATTTTTAAATTGTGTCAGCTGCTTCTATGCCAGAGAGTGGACAGAACTGGTTGAGAACAGTCACATTCAGAGTCTTCGTGTGCACTCTTTCAGTTATGAAAATGTAGGGCAAGTAAGCACTCATTTCCCTGAGTGGAAAGTGACATAAACACTTTTTTTTTGAGACGGAGTCTCTCTCTGTTGCCCAGCCGGTTCTTACAGTTGCTCTTCAGACCCAAGCAGTCAAGATGGTGAAGCAGATTGAGAGTAAGGTTGCTTTTCAGGAAGCCTTGGAGGCTGCAAGTGAGAAACTTGTAGTAGTCAACTTCTCAGCCATGTGGTATGGGCCTTGCAAACAGATCAAGCCTTCCTCTCATTCCCTCTCTGAAAAGAATTCCCACATGGTATTCTTTGAAGTACACGTGGATGACTGTCAGGATCTGGCTTCAGAATGTGAAGCCAAATGCATGCCAACCTTCCAGTTTTTTTTTTTTTTTTTTTTTTTTGAGACGGAATTTTCGCTCTTGTTACCCAGGCTGGAGTGCAATGGCACAATCTCGGCTCACTGCCACCTCCGCCTCCTGGGTTCAGGCAATTCTCCTGCCTCAGCCTCCTGAGTAGCTGGGATTACAGGCACGCGCCACCGTGCCCAGCTAATTTTTTGTATTTTTAGTAGAGACGGGGTTTCACTATGTTGACCAGGATGGTCTCGATCTCTTGACCTCATGATCCACCTGCCTCGGCCTCCCAAAGTGATGGGATTACAGGCATGAGCCACCGCGCCCGGTCCACCTTCCAGTTTTTTAAGAAGGGACAAAAGGTGGGTGAATTTTCTGGAGCTAATAAGGAAAAGCTTGAAGCCAGCATTAATGAATTAGTCTAATCATGTTTTTTGAAATCATAACCAGCTATTGGCTATTTAAAACTTATAATTTTCGGCCGGGCGTGGTGGCTCACGCCTATAATCCCAGCACTTTGGGAGGCCAAGGCAGGTGGATCACAAGGTCAAGAGATCGAGACCATTCCTGGTCAACGAGGTGAAACCCCATCTCTTCTAAAAATACAAAAAATAGTGGGCATGGTGGTGCACGCCTGTAGTCCCAGCTACTCGGGAGGCGGAGGCAGGAAAATTGCTTGAACCCAGAAGGCGGAGGTTGCGGTGAGCTGAAATTGTGCCATTGCACTCCAGTCTGGGTAACAACAGCAAAACTCCGTCTCAAAATAAATAAATAAAATAAAACTTATAATTTTTTTATTTACCTAAAGTATGGAGATTATAAACCCAACTGCCATCTGGATGACAATAACATATTAATTCTATCTTTAAAAAAAGATAAAGAGGGTACCAGAAACAAAGACCCAAGGATGATTGGGGTCTGGGAGGAGGGAGCTGGAGAACAGGTGAGTGTGAACAGAATGCATCAGTCAAGATTCGCCTGAGAAACAGAATATACATATACAGTGCTTGTGTGGTAGGGATATGTGTGTGTGTTTAATATATATATAGTACAGGGCTCCGCTAGAGGTGAGGTCGACCGCAAGACTGGCGTCACTGCGTGGGCCGAGCAAAAACCTGAGTCAGGAGGAAGCCAAGCAAGGTCAGTGGAGGGGGCGGGGCCCGAAATGGGGCGGAGCTTGGGAAAGCACGGCGCAAGGGCGGGGCAGGGCCAGAGGCGGGGTGAAGCCGGCTCAGGGGGTGGGGCGGGCACCGTAGCCCCGAGAGGCTCGCGCCTGCGTACGGGTCCGCGGCGGAGCGGGGCTGCGCTAGCGCGTTTCGCGGACCCTGGAGGGCGGAGTCCAGGCCGCCGCCGTTAGAGGGAGGGGCGCGGCGGTTTTGGGAGTCTGGCGCTCCCTCAGGCCGCGGACGAGATGCTGGGAGCTGCGGTTCCAGCGGCGGGGACGGCGGAGGTGTCACGGGCGGCCCTAGCTTCTCCTTCCGTCTTCGGGCCCGCAGGTCACGGCGACCTGCTGCCGGGCCTCGGCATAGGAGGCAGCGCGACCTCTACACGGTGAGAGCGGGTCTCAGGGCCGGAGTCGGGCCCGGGGTGGCCGGGGGCAGGCCAGGACCAGGCGCGCAGTCCGGCCGGAGCGGAGGCCCGGACTCCCGGGCCGAGGTGGTGTCGCCCTCCTGTCCCCCTACCTCCAGGGTGAGCCTCTCTAGCTCCCCTCGGACGCGGGGAGGGCGCGGACCAGGGAGGCCGGAGGACGTCCTCCCTGCGGCTGTAACTGCGTGGGGCCTCGGTCCGCGGGCGCCGCTTTCAGTGGAAATCAGGGTGAGACTGAGGTGCTCAGTGATTTCAGAGCCTGGTAGCTTGTGAGGGTGGATGAGGAAAGTACCGGGCCTCCCCGAAGGAGTGGGATTTTTTTTTTTTTTTTTTTAATTACAGGGCTAAATCAAAGACACACCCTAAAACACATCCCGAGGTGCAACTTTGGCGGGGCACACCGTTGCGTAGGTTCAGATCTTCTCTCTTCTCTTTAGACACGTATTTTCATACAGTTTACTTTTTTATTTTTTCCAGTTGGCATTTCCTGAATTGTATTCTCTATGTATATATTTTATTTTCTTGCGAAAGTAAAAGGAGGAATGAAAGGACTCCTTCGTGGTGGCCCTTGGTGGCAAAGCTTTAGTTTTCATTTCAATAATTGCATATTCATGTGTGTGGGCTCCGCAGCCAATGAGGCTGGCTGCTCCCAGACTAGGCCTTAGCGGGGTGGAAATGACTGATGCAAGGACTCTGTGGTCTCAGATTAGAGTGTTGGTTGCTCACTCCTATAGATGAGAAATTGAGCTTTAAGCTTTTCAAAATGGCCATATGAAAGGCATTCCTTTGGCTGGGCGTAGTGGCTCACGCCTGTAATCCAGGCACTTTGAAGGCCAAGGCCGGCGGATCACCTGAGGTCGGGAGTTCAAGACCAACCTGACCAACAGGATGAAACACCGTCTAAAAAAAAAAAAAAAAATAGAAAAAAAGAAAGGCATTCCTTTTTTCCCCGAGCATTAAAATATAGCAGAGCCTATAAATTTGACTAGTGTTTTTAGAGCATCCTCTTTTAGACTGGAGACTTTAGAGATGGCAGCTAATCTCGGCTCACCGCAACCTCCGCCTCCTGGGCCCAGGCAATTCCAAAAGGAATTTAAGATGCTGTCCTGCAAAAGATAGGTGCAAAACATCTTATCCGTCATCAGTATGTGATAACGATGTAAATATTCCTGAGTGTTTGCCTGAAATCAGTGTTCTTTCTCTTGGACTTCATTACTGTTCGCTTCTCTTAATTTACGAAAACTCTTTACTGTTTCACAAGGTCAAGAGATCGAGACCATCTTGGTCAACATGATGAAACCCCGTGTCTACTAAAAATACAAAAATTAGCTGGGCGTCGTGGCACGCATCTGTAGTCCCAGCTACTCGGGAGGCTGAGGCAGGAGAATTGCTTGAACCCAGGAGGCAGAGGTTGCGGTGAGCCAAGATCGCGCCATTGCACTCCAGCCTGGGTAACAAGAGCAAAACTCCGTCTCAAATAAATAAATATTAAATTGAAGAACAAATGAGCAACTTTTCTACAGAATTTTTTTTTTTTTTTTTTTTGAGATGGAGTCTTACTCTGTTGCCCAGGCTGGAGTGCAGTGCAGTGGCGTGATTTTGGGTCACTGTAACCTCCTCCTCCTGGGTTCAAGCAATTCTCTGCCTGAGCCTCCTGAATAGCTGGGGTTACAGGTGCTTTCCACTTCATCTAGCTAATTTTTGTATTTTTAGTGGAGATGGGGTTTGACCATCTTGGCCAGGCTGGTCTTGAACTCCTGACCTCATGATCAATCCACCTCAGCCTCCCAAAGTGCTGGGATTACAGGCCTAAACCAGCACATCTGGCCTTCCAGGGAAATTTTGATGGCTTCCCTTCTTCACCACCCTTCTTTTTTTTTTTTTTTAGAGGGAGTTTCGCTCTTGTTACCCAGGCTAGAGTGCAATGGCGCAATCTCGGCTCACCGCAACCTCCGCCTCCTGGGCCCAGGCAATTCTCCTGCCTCAGCCTCCCGAGTAGCTGAGATTACAGGCACACGCCACCATGCCCAGCTAATTTTTTGTATTTTTAGTAGAGACGGGGTTTCACCATGTTGACCTGGATGGTCTCAATCTCTTGACCTTGTGATCCACCCGCCTCGGCCTCTCAAAGTGCTGGGATTACAGGCATGAGCCACCGCGCCCGGCCCCACCCTTCTTTTTTTTTTAAATATACCTGACTGAATTTTACCATAATTGTTTATGAATATTGAGTTGATGTTTGAGATGAGTTCAGAAACTATGTTGAAAGCACATATTGGGGCCCGGCGCGGTGGCTCATGCCTGTAATCCAAGCACTTTGGAGGCCAAGGTGGGCGGATCACCTGAGATTGGGAGTTCAAGACCAGCCTGACCAACATGATGAAACCCGTCTTCAAAAAAAAAACAAAATTTTTTTTAAAGAAAGCACATATTACACTTATAGCACTTTATAAGCCTCTTTTAGTGGTTCATTCATGTTTGAGTAAGTAGTAGTCAGTATTTAGTGCTGGAGCATCATTGCAGTTGCTTCTTAACCCTCTTCATTGCTCTTTCTCCAGATTTACCTTAGACTGTGATCCATGCTCCTGACTTTTAGATTTCTGAAACTCAGGTCTGTCCAGTTCTATTTTTGCTAAAAAAATCAGCTGTGGCTCCCTATTCTTTGCAGAAGTTAGTTTTGTTTTTTTGCCTCTTTACCCACCTTTTGTCTGCACATGCTTCAGGGGATCTGGAATGCTCCCTAGGATATCTTGCTATGTTGACTAAGCTGGTCTTGAACTCCTAGTGTCAAGCAGTTTTCCCACCTTGGGAAAAGTGCTGGGATTACAGGTGTGAGCCACCGGGCCCTGCCTCCCTAAGGGAATCTAATGCACACGTGATGTTTCTTACCATAGGACCATAGAATAAAGACCAGATTTTTTGTTAGCATACAGGTGGTCCTCCAAGAGGAGGTTCCATGAGAAATACTTAGACATCTCTCTGCTTTTGTACATGCTATTCCTTGATTATTATTTATTTTATTTTATTTTATTGAGATGGAGTTTCGCTCTTGTTGCCTAGACTGGAGTGCAATGGTGTGATCTCAGCTCACCACAATATTTGCCTCCCGGGTTCAAGTGATTCTTCTGCTTCAGCCCCCTGAATAGCTGGGATTACAGGTATGCACCACCATGCCCGGCTAATTTTGTATTTTTAGTAGAGATGGTATTTCTCCATGTTGGTCAGGCTGGTCTCGAGCTCCCAACCTCAGGTGATCTGCCCACTTTGGCCTCCCAAAATGCTGGAATTACAGGCGTGAGCCATCATGCCCGGCCACTATTCCTTTTTTTTTTTTTTTTTAATAGAATACCATTCATCTTCTTATTAAATCACTTTTATCTTTTGTTTGTTTGTTTGTTTGTTTGTTTAAGATGGAGTTTCACTCTTGTTGCCCAGGCTGTAGTGCAAAGGCGAGATCTCGGCTCATTGCAACCTCTGCCTCCCCAGCCTCCCGAGTAGCTGGGATTACAGGTGCATGCCACCATGCCTGGCTAATTTATTTTGCATTTTTAGTAGAGATGGGGTTTCACCATGTTGACCAGTTGACCAGCCTGGTCTTGAACTCCTGACCTCAGGTGATTCACCCGCCTCAGCCTCCCAACATTTTGGGATTAGAGGCGTAAGCCACTGCACCTAGCCATCACTTTATCTTTTTTTAAAAGCCCAATATAGATGCCTTTTCTTCCTAGAAAGCTGCTAGACATATGCTCATTATGCCTCTTCCATCTGTCCTTCATTATATTCTGTTACCTGTGTTCCTGTTAACATTATAGTTATTTTGTTGTAGTCATTGCTGTATTTTACTGTTTGCTTTCATGACAGGTTCCTCTTGCCCCCAACTTATAGACACTCAATAAATTTTTTGTTGAATGAATGAGGAAAGCAAATAATTATATAATGTTGATCCAGTTTTGATTGACCCATTTGATTGGGAATTTACATCATTCAGTTTGTACAGAATATACAAAGAGCAATTTAAAAAGTGTTCTTAAAGACAGTCGTATCCTGAAGTGTCTTAGGAAATTTATACTTACTAAATATATCTTTTCATTAGCAAATAATAAGACTTGTTGATTATTTATTTTCTAACCCAAATCTCAATTTTTGTCTGAATTTTTTTTCTCCTCTGTTTTTATTTTTTTCCTCTTTGACATATACCCAAAGAACTACAATTCATTCTACTATAAAGACACATCCACACGTATGTTCACTGCAGCCCTATGTACAATAGCAAAGACCTGGAACCAACCCAAATGCCCATCAATGATAGACTGGACAGAGAAAATGTGGTACATATACACATTGGAATACTACACATCCATAAAAAAATGATGAGTTAGTGTCCTTTGTAGGGACTTGGATGAATCCAGAAACCGTCATTCTCAGCAAACTGACACAAGAAAAGAAAGCCAAACACCGTATGTTCTCAGTCATAGGTGGGTGTTGAACAACAAAAACACGTGGACTCAGGAAGAGGAGCATCACACACTGAGGGCAGTTGAGGGAGATAAGGGAGAGACAGTGGGGGGTTGGGAGGGACAACATGGGGAGAAATGCCAGATATAGTATGCACCTAAAGTAAAATAAATAAATTTTTAAAAAGATGGGGGAAAAAAAATCCAGTGTTTTTTCTACTCTCTCATAACACTCAGTACTTTTTTTTTTTTTTTTTTTTGAGACAATGTCTTATTCTGTCACCCGGGCTGGGGTGCAGTGGTTTGATTATGGGTCACCACAGCCTTGACCTCCTGGACTTAATTGATGTGCCCTCCCAAGTAGCTGGGTCCACAAGTGTGTGCCACCATGCCCAGCTAATTTTTTTTAAAACATTTTTATGTAGAGATGAGGTCTTGCCATGTTGCCCAGACTTGTGTCAAACTCCTGGCCTCTAAGATCCTCCCACCTTGGCCTCCCAAAGTGTTAGA